CCCCGCCAGTGCCAGTGCCAGCGCCGCCGGTTGTCCCGTAGACGCCGTGTGCCGCCCGAGAACTGGCGGGGACGCGGAGGTAAGGGTTCCCGTAGGCGGCGGAGTAGCGGGGGTCCACGTTGTTCAGGGGCGCCCCGGTGGAGTACACGGAGTTGCGGTTGTAGCTGACAGGAGGGGGCGGGTTGTAGTCCCTCGAGTAGTCCACGTACTGCACGTAGCCCCCGCTGTTGTTGTTGGGGCCGTCCTGGTGGGGAGCGAAAGGGTTGGTTGTTATTAGGAGAAAGTGGTCACAAGTGGTTTGATATTTCATTAGGTATATTAATGACTAAAACTATTAACGGTAACAACAACATTAATAACAGTGATAATAATATTGAAATTTTAATTTAAATATCTACCAGAAGTAAAAAAAATAATCAATATATTTTTTTAAATCTTTCAGAAAGATACATATGCCCATACCCCCCAAAATAGAAATAAAACTCTATATCCCCGATCTCCCTTGCACTAAATATCCCACAACCCAACTAACTTCTACAAACCATCGTCACAACACACACTAACCTTCGGGGAAAATATAGGCTCTCCGTAGTCGCCAGCGGAGTAGCGGAAGTGTTCGTGGCGGCGAGCATTGGTGGCAGCGGTGGCATCCGGATCCCAGTCGTCGTGAGAGCTGTAGTCGTCGTCCTCGGAGGGAGACAGGTCAGACCCGGTGGCGGTGCGGGTCTCGACCTTCAGCACCGAGTCGTGGGTCGAGGAGCGGTCGCTGGACCTCATGCTGTGCTTCTCGAGGCCGGAGTCTGAGGGAGGGACAAGGAAGTGTCAGAGCGTGGTCTGCTTTGTATGGGATTGCGGTTGTGTTTTCGATTTTGATTTTGTAGAAGTATAAGAAGCTCAGGGGATGGATGGAGGGGCTTAGAGATACGCAAATAGACACAGATGAAACTAATAGCACACATAATAAATATATGTATATAAATGTATACATAGTATGTGTGTGTGTGTGCATACATACATACATATGTGTGTGTGTATGTGCATATATATATGTGTATATATATATGTGTGTGTGTGTGTGTGTGTGTGTGTGTGTGTGTGTGTGTGGTGTGTGTGTGTGTGGTGTGTGTGTGTGTGTGTGTGTGTGTGCGTGTGTGTGTGTGTGTGTGTGTGTGCGCGCGTGTGCGTGTGTGTATGTACATACATGCATACATACATATATATATATATATATATATATATATATATATATATATATTTTGTGTGTGTGTGTGTGTATTTTACACACACACACACACACACACACACACACACACACACTATATATATATATATATATATATATATATATATATATATATATATACATATATATATATATATATATATATTATATATATATATATATATATATATAAACTATATAATATATAACTATTAACTATATAACTATATATATATATATATATATATATATATTATATATATATATATATACATATATATGTAGGAATAAGTGTGTATATATATATGTGTGTTTGTGTGTGTGTGTGCTGCATACATGTATATACATACATAAAGCAAACATTACAACACCGCTTCCCCTCCATCAGCCTGCTGCCTTCTTGCCCACCACTCGAAGCCCACCCAACCCACCCTAACCCTCATCATCTTACCTTTGTAACCCCCCCCCCCCCTCTCTCTCTCTCTCTCTCTTCTCTCTCTCTCTCTCTCTCTCTCTTCTCTCTCTCTCTCTCTCTCTCTCTCTCTCTCTTCTCTCTCCCTCCCTCCCTCCCTCCCTCCCTCTCCCTCCCTCCCTCCCTCCCCTCTCCCCCCCACCCCTCTCTCCCACCCCCTCTCTCCCCCCTCCCTCTCCCTCCTTCCTCCCTCCCCCTCCCTCCCTCCCTCCCCTCCCTCTCTCCCTCCCCTCTCTCTCCCTCTCTCTCTCACTCCCCCCGTTTCTCCCTCCATCTCTCCTCCTCCTCTTACCCTTGTATCCCTTTCCCTTCTTCTTAAAGAGGACGATGACGATGATGACGACCACGAGGAAAAGGATCCCGCCGATGATGGCCACGAGGGTCGTCACGAGAGGGAGGCTCTCTGCGGAAAGAGGAGAATGAAGAAGAAAATGAATAAAAATTATGATGAAATTAACAAAAGGACAATGATTATTATGTGAATGAAAAAAAAATTATGATGACAAACAAATGGACAATGATTATCATGAGGAGAATGAAGAAGAAAAAATTAATAAAAATTATGATGAAATAAACAAAAGGACAATGATTATCATGAGAATGAAAAAAAATAAAAATTATGATGAAATAAACAAAAGGACAATGATTATCATGAGGATGAAGAAAATTAAGTAAAAATTATGATGAAATAAATAAAAGGACGATGATTATCATGAGAATGAAGAAGAAAAAATGAATAAAAACTATGATGAAATAAATAAATGGATAGTGATTATCATGAGGAGAATGAAGAAGAAAAATTGAATATAAATGATGAAATAAACAAATGGACGATGATTATCATGAGGAGGATGAAGAAGAAAAAATGAATAAAAATCATGATGAAATAAACAAATGGATAGTGATTATCATGAGGAGGATGAAGAAAATTTAATAAAAATTATGATGAAATAAACAAATGGATAATGATTATCATGAGGATGAAGAAAATTAAGTAAAAATTATGATGAAATAAACAAATGGATAGTGATTATCATGAGGATGAAGAAAATTAAGTAAAAATTATGATGAAATAAACAAATGGATAGTGATTATCATGAGGAGGATGAAGAAAAAATAAATAACTATGATGAAATAAATAAAAGGACAATGATTATCATAAGGAGGAGAGAGAGAGGGAGAGAGAAATAGAAAGAGAGAGAGTGAGAGAAAGAAAGAGATAGAGGGAGATAAAGAGATCGCAAAAAAAAAACAAAAAAAACGAAAAAAACAAGCGAGAAAAAAAGAAACCCCAGTGAACGCTAATGAGATGAGACATGTTTAAAAGGTTGCTGAAAGAAACTACAAAAAAAGGGATGCTGCTCTCGACCGTACACACACACACGCACATGAATGTATGTCTTTGTGCACACACACACACACACACACACATACACGCACACACACACACACATACATGCGTAATAAATACATCGTAATTAATTTTATCATCTGAATACCGCAAAGTCATAAGTTCTGCATTTCGATAATAAAATACAGATTACATCGTCATTGGGATTTAACATCACCTTTATATAGCATTAAAAAATATGTATTTTTATCTAAATGCAAAATAAGTGGAAATAAAGTGGAAAAATAAATAATATTGAACATAAATACCACAATAATAATAATGATAATATATTAGTTAACTTAAAAAAAAAGTTATATAGCTGCTCAATTGACTCTAGCACGGGATCTAATTCTCATTTTACGAAATTAATCTTCTGTAATTAGAAACTAAGACCGACATAACAACAACATCGACAGCGCTAGCATTTCAACATCGACAAAGGGAGACAATTGAAATTAAATTAAATCGATTATGGACTTACTTCAGCCGAGACAATATTCTACCACGGGACACGGGTATACACTTTCTACATCGCTTAGCACTACAGTAATATAGAATGAATGAATAACTAAAATGAACAATCAAAATAATAATAATAATAATAATAGTAATAATAATAATAATAATAATAATAATAATAATAATAATAATAATAATAATAATATTAATAATAATAATGGCCTATTGCTTGGTACAATTCAATAGGATTTAATAGGATACCAGGACATTTACACATAGCAATGATCCTACCCGGGGTCAGGATATGTAGGTGACCCAAAAAAGCAACCCTACTTTTTCCACTGACCTCTGAAGGCTATCTTAATAGCCATCTCTTTATCCAGGTGGCACACTGCTCAGAAAATCCAAATCACAAAAAAAGCAGAAACGTCAATAACACACACACTTGAAAAGCCCTTGATATCTTATGTATCATTGTTGAAATATACATAGTGTTACTGAAGGGGAATCTAGCTAGTTCTATACACTGTGAATTCTATCTTTTCACGGACACAATTTTGTCTGACTAATACCTTACATCAACACAATAAGGACACGAACGGAATTTCTGAGGAAATAATATAATAAAGAACCGTTATTACTGAATTTTTCTATATAGCTAAGCTGTAAAAGAAACTTTTTGGACTTAGGTATTAAATAATATGAATCTGAATTCATGGGAAAAAAAATTTGTTAAAATATAAGGCGTCAATTTCGAAATCCCTTTCTGTGCTTCATCTTCAAGAATAGTTTTACTAAAAGATGAGAGAATAATTTGGTTATTCTCCCGGACTTTTAAAAAAATCAGATCTGGTGAAGATAATGAAAGATTTCAAAACTGCTGTCTCACCATACCATAAAACCTATTCTATGCATAATATTTTCAGTTTTTCTCTCCCTCGGACACTTTATCAAACACTCTAGAACATTTTGTCATTTCTACTCATGTCGAAATCTTAGCAGCAACGTGATACAAACAAATGCTATTCCACAAAAACTAAATATCCAATGAACGAACCTAATTCCACCCCAGGCAACCCCACCCCCCAAACAAAACAAAACCTAACCTAACAATAAAACAAACAAAACAAACAAACAAAAGCAATTCAATCTTACGTTGTCTTTTGAGCTGTATCTCCGCCATGTGGGACCCGTAGCCGTTCTTAGCGGTGCAGTTGTAGAATCCGAAATCCTCTGGCGTCGTATCGTGGATAATGAGCGTGTTCTTCACTCCTCCTGGTATGCTCTCTTGGAGGATGTTAAAGCGAGACACGTCTGTTACATGTCGAGAGAGAGAGAGAGAGAAAGAGAGAGAAAAAAAATGGTTTAGGAAGAACACACCTCGAGTCGCTTGGAATATTGTCATCAAATGATACCAAGGATAAGATCTATCCCCACTCAAATCCACGTCCACG